AAAAAAAAAAAAAAAAAAAAAAAAAAAAAAAAAAAAACCAAGAAACTTGGCCGAGGCATCTCGGCATGCCCACGGCCGAAATGCCTCGGCCATGCCCCCGGGGAAAAAAAGAAAAAAAAGAAAAGAAAAAAATAAATAGAAAAGCTGAGTGCCTCAGGCCAGAACGCTGAGTCCCTGAGTCCATGAGGCCAGGGGCCTAGGGGTCCTTCGCTGTGAAACTGGGCAAAACGCGGTATTTTTGCTGGCAAACTACCGGAACCCCATAAAGCTGCAACGAAGCCTCTACTTTTGCGAAGGAAACTTCGAACGGACGACATTTTTGCTGCCAAACTTCGAAACAGCAATATTTTTTAAATTAACCCAAAAATCAATAGGCGGCCTGTGGGCCTAGCTCAGTTGGTAAGGCACAGAAGTTGCATTCAGGAGGTCGTGTGTTCAATCCCCATTGCCCTCACGTACGTGCCTGGGCAAGCTTGGTGTTCTTCCAGCTAGAGGTAACCCGTTGGCCCCCCAAGTCAGCATTGGCAGGACCTTGGCTGATGTCGCTGGCTGCTATGCAGCGACAATATTGGCCATTAGACACCGCCATGTGGGGTTGGGGGGGGGTAGGGGGAGGTGCAGTGACTGGCCACTGCTCGGCGCTAGCACCGCCGATTTCCCCCATCGGCAATGCCTGCCCACCCCTTGTCACCCTGATGAGGGACTGGTACAGCCTTGCTCTCGCACCACAGCTGTGGTGCAAACCTACCCCGTGGGCTGGGGAGAGATCCGGGTTGGTTGGTGTTCCCCCGTACTACAAATAGACTAGTGAGAGGATGAGATAGATGGGTACTACCAAGGAAGATGAAATAGATTGAGAGAAGAATATAGATTACTTCAAAAAAAAATCAAAAAAAAATCAATAGGTATGGGATTCTGTTTTGATTTTCTGAATTAAGATCTGATCGGATATTATTTCTCTATTTTGTAGTTCCTAAAATCTTGAATATATGTTAGTCAATCTTTAAATTAGTGATTCTTCCCAATCATCTTTCTTAGGACCTGGAGGGAGATCCCGCTATGGAGATATGTGGATTAGTGGAGAGGAGATATTATGTGGATTAGTGGAGAGGCTGTGTTGACTTTGGACGTCCATAGATCGGAATGGCAGTCGGAGGTTTGTGTTTTTTTGTATTTAGGTGTGGGGATATATACGATGTTCTACGGCCCCCCATTGGATGGTTCGTTTTCTTTATTTTTTGGGGCCGTCCTTTGGGGGTAGAGAATGTGTATGAAAATCTTACCAAGTTTTTTGGTGATGATTTCCACACACCTCCCACTCACGTTTTGGTGGTGGCTCCTGTGTGGAAGACAGGCCCAATTCGACAATGTGGGAGGTGTTTTGGGAGGATTCGATCCCCTCACCTACGGCAAATAGGGCATAGAGTTACTCTGACATCTGTCGGAGTGAAGGACCAGAGTGCTCTGTGGTCCATTTCAAGGAAGGCTCAGACTACTGTAAATGAATATGGTCCGCTTGGACGCTCACATTCAGTCATCTTGACTGCCACATCTGTGGTCAGTGAATCATACCCTGACATCTGACACCCCGCCTGGATGAGACAGGATCCGTGGGAAGAGCACTTCTCTTTTTTCACGTTTCTTGCTTCATTTTTTTTTTGTCAAGATATGGTTTTTCGTTTTTATTTTACCTAGTTTACTCTGCCACCCACCCATCCGCCACCCGTCCCACACATGGCACACTAATCCAAATACATGGTAGGATCTCCCTCCTGGTATGTTCTGCAACACTATCCATATGACTCGTCATCATGGTTTCTCTATACTTATAAAAACTGGAGCAGGCCCACCGTCACGCCACGGGTTGGGCCCACCGGAAACAAAACGAGGAGCCGACGCGGGAATAGGGTGGCGCGGAGCAGTACCGAGTTTCGGGGGCTCGCTGGCGCGGAGCGGTACCGAGTTTCAGGGGCTCGGTGGCGCATTCGGGTTGGGGTCCACGTCGTTTCACTGGCGCGTTCGGGTCGGGGGGCGGCGCTTGGCCCACGGCACGCGTGTTTTTTTTAGGGCAAGGGGCCACGCAAGTATCGCATGCTGTTTTCCACGGGCGGCATGGACGCCGTGTTCGTATAGGCGCAGAGGGCGCGCTGCTTTTGGGGTTTTACCGTGGAGCGCGGCGGACTGGTGAGGTGTTTTGCGCGGGCCAGTGCGATGCGATCGGCGTTCTTATCTGGCCTATGAAACACCCACGGACGCGTCCGTGGGGTCCAGCTCGGATGGCGGCCGTATATACGGCCGCGTCCGCGGCCGACCTGCTCCGCGCCGCGGATGCGAATTTACCATATTTTTCGTGAATTAAATCATGGGTAAAAAAAAAAAAAAAAAAAAGGGGTTGTAGGGATGAAAAAAGATAAGTTTTTAGAATTATAAAAAATAAAAAACAGAAAAGGTGGAGAAGAGAAATTAAAAAAAATAATAAAGAAAAACTAGGCTACCAGAGTGGCCCGGGGTCACTTGCCCGGCCGGGCCAAAAAAAAAAAAA